GTTGTTCTGCTTCTTTGTACTTTTCTGAACTTAGTGATAATATATTACTTTTATATGTGGAAAATAAAAACAAAATTATTAAGTATTAAAAGTCTCTGGAAGAAAATATATAAAAATATTAATTTTCATATATTTATATTGAATTTATGTTGAATTTGGGTGGTGGAACTTAACATTTCATATATTAATTTTTTCATACATCTGAGACCACTTTTCTAGGTGGATTAATGAGCTGCTTTTAAGCAGCCTCACAGGAAAAATAAAATCTCCACCACACAACTGCTGAAGAGGTCAGGCAAGTGCTCACTCTGGCAGGACATATACTAAAATCAGAATGATACAGAGAAGATTGGCATATAAAAATAAGAAACAACAAAAATAAAATAAATGAAAAGAAAAAAAGAAGTTAGGCAAGACATCCAAGAGAAGAGAAGGCTCCTAGTGCAGTGCCCAGACACAAAAGGGGCTTCAGAAATGGGAGTGTCTTTCCTCTTCTGCAGTGGAAGGCTGAATGCTCCATTTGTATGTACTAGGGTGAGAATTATGGTTATGTGTTAAGACTTTCTCAAAGGTGAAAAGATCAACACGTAGAAAAACTGCATGTGTTTCTTATATAACATGTTATAGTCCATTGATTAGATACTGTTGTTTCCAGTGATCTGAGGTAGGTCTCATCACAGAAGTGTGAAATAATTAGGCTCTGGGGCAGGAGTTTTCAAAACCAAGACCCATTAGTGCGTCATGAAATCAGTTAAGCAGGTCACAAACATCAATTTTTTAAAAACCAAAATAGAACAGAATAAAAAATATCAAAGTATACCATACTACTGTTTTTTCAGCACCGTTGTGTGCTGGCTTGTGATTGTGTGTATGTGTGTCTGTGTGTGTTTCACAATGGGCCATGTTCTTAAAAGTTTGAAAGCTATGTTTCTAGAGTACTGCACTTACAGAAGTCCAAAAAAAGGACAGAATGGAGTGTCTCTATGGCTCTCAGATAACAAAGCCAACAAATGGCTGTCTCCAGTTCCTAAGGTGCTCAAATAATGGGAGGAACCATTGTCATTTTATTTATTTATTTTTTTTTTGAGACAGCATCTTGCTCTGGCACCCAGGCTGAGGTGAGTGGCATGATGACAGCTCCCTGCAGCCTCCACCTCCCAGGCTCAAGCGACCCTCCCACCTCACCCTTCTGGGACTATAAGCATCTGCTACCATGCCTAGCTAATGTTTAAATATTTTGTAGATTAAGGGTCCCACAACGTTGCCTAGGCTGGTCTCAAACTCCAGTGCTCAAGTGGTCGTCCTGACTCAGCCTCCCAAAGTGCTAGGATTACAGGCGTGAGCCACTGCACCCAGCGAAGAACCATAGTCTTTTCTTTCTTTTTTTTTTGTGGGGGGGGAAGGAGTCTGACTCTGTTGCCCAGGCTGGAGTGCAGTAGCGATCTTGGCTCACTGCAACCTCTGTCTTCCAGGTTCGAGTGATTCTCCTGCCTCAGCCTCCCAAGTAGCTGGGATTACAGGATGCATCACCACACACAGCTAATTTTTGTATTTTTAGAAGAGATGGGCTTTTGCCATATTGGCCAGGCTGGTCTTGAACTCCTGACCTCAAATGATCTGCCCACCTCGGCCTCCCAAAGTGCTGGGATTACAGGAGTGAGCTACCACACCCGGGCTCACGGTCATTTTAAACACAAGGCCCAGAGATGAAGCAGCTTACACAAGGCCTTCTGGCTAGTACATACAGATGCCCTGTCTGCTGCGATGCAGGTGCTGTGAAGTCTTCCAGCATCATCCTACCCACCTGTTCACAGGTTTCCTGTATCAAGGGACTACTATGGCAGGAATGGGCTGGGAACTGCTGGGGGTGGAAAACTAGATGGGACCCACCACTGGGGCTGCCATGTACTCACTCCATAATCAGGACCGCCCAGCTCCTTTATCCGGACCTCCCAGTGTCCTTTCTCCCTTAGCAGCTTGTTAATTTCATCATTCAGGTCACGAATTCGAAATTCACCTAAACCAGCTAGAAAACAAAAAGGTTAACAATATAATAATCATCAACACCTCCAACACTTACACTCAATATCATACCCTTAAAATCAATGTCAACATCTACAAAGGTACACTACATAAAAATACTCATCTAAATTGATAAGAAAAATAACCCAAATAAATGAAAGGACAAGAATTATAAAGAGTTTCCACTAGCGTAAGAAAAAAAAAATCCTTGAAACTAATTTCATCCTCACTAGCAACCAAAAAAATACAAACTACCCTGAAACAACCCGGCAGTTCCATTTATACAGCTACTGAAATAACAAGCTCTTAAGAGAGAGGGGGAAATAGTAACCAAGGCCAGCAAAGACACAATGAGGCTGGGATGGGCACCCAGGGCTGGCAGCATTCTATGATGGTTTAGCCTTTTCAGGAAAGCAATGTATTGCTATATGGGAAAAATTTCTGGCGAGGACTATAGGGCTAAGAATTAAGCCTAAGGGATTAATTGAAAGGGATGTGCACAACAAATTTCACTGCGGTGCAGCTGGGGCATCACACCATAGAGAAGGTGGGAAAATGGTTAATGAACCCTAATATGTTGAAATGAAACATCATGTAACTGTTGGAAGGGACAATTTGCACCACACAGTGTAGACACAGCAAGGTCTTTATGAGGTAATGCTGGATGACAACAGCAGGTCCAGAAGGGCTCTTACACCTGGGTTATAGCTAAGACTGATGCTCTAGAAGATGGGCATGAGAGGACTTCTAGGGGTGATGGAAACTGCTTGTGGACGTGGTGGCATTCATGGGTATAAAAATCTGCTGTAATTCATCCAACTCTACATTAAAAATGGAGGAATTTTATTATATGTAATTTTTGCTGGATAAAGTCCATTTTTTAAAAAAAGTCAAACAGGCCGGGCACGGTGGCTCACGCCTATTGTAATCCCAGCACTCTGGGAGGCCGAGGCAGGTGGATCACGAGGTCAGGAGATCGAGATCATCCTGGCTAACACAGTGAAACCCTGTCTCTGCTAAAAATACAAAAAATTAGCAGGGCATGGTGGCGGGCGCCTGTAGTCCCAGCTACTCGGGAGGCTGAGACAGGAGAATGGCATGAACCTGGGAGGTGGAGCTTGCAGTGAGCCGAGATCGTGCCACTGCACTCCAGCCTGGGCGACGAGCAAGACTCCACCTCAAAAAAAAAAAAAAAAAGTCAAACAGGCCGGGTGCAGTGGCTCACGCCTGTAATCCCACCAGCACTCTGGGAAGCCGAGGTGGGTGGACTGCTTGAGCTCAGGAGTTCAAGCCAGCCTGGGCAACATAGTGAAATCCCATCTCCACCAAAAATACGAAAAATTAACTGGGTGTGGTGGCACATGCCTGTGGTTCCAGCTACTTGGGAGACTGAGGTGGGAGAATCGCTTGAGCCCAGGAGGTGGAGACTGCAGTGAGCTGTGATAGCACCACTGCACTCCAGCCTGGGTGACAGAGTGAGACCTTGACTCAAAAAAAAAAGTCAAGTAAAAAGAATACCCTGTAAGTGGGTGCGGTAGCTCACACCTGTAATCCCAGCCTTCTGGGAGGCACAGGAGGATAGATCACTTGCGGTCAGGAGTTCGAGACCAGCCTTGGCCAACATGGGGAGTCCTTGTTTCTACTAAAAATACAAAAATTAGCCGGAAGTGGTGGTGCACGCTTGTAATCCCAGCTACTGAGGAAGCTTGAGGCAGAAGAATTGCTTGAGCCTGGAAGACAGAGGTTGCATTGAGCCAAGATCATGCCACTGCACTCCAGCCTGGGCGACAGGGCAAGACTGTCTCAAAAAAAATAAATAAATAAAAAGTTTTTAAAAAAATACATTTTAGAACCTCCCACTCCCATGTTCTGTTCTGTTAAGAAAGAAAAAGATCTGCCACCACCATGGTGAGACTTTCCAGTGCTAACGACACAGAGAACTCAAAGCAGCCCAATCATCTGCCCAATCATCTGAGGGCCTCAACCAAAGCAAACGGAGAGGATCCCAGAAGCCTCTCCCAAAGCAAAGCCAAGACATCTTGGAGAAAACAAGAATCACATGTTTTACGTTTTTTCATTGACTTTCCAAAATCTATATATAAAAACATTACTTTTTGGTACATAATGAGTTTTCACAAATGCATATAATCATGTAATCATGACCACAATTAAGACACAGAAAGTTCCATCGCCCCAAAACATTCCCTTATGTGCCACTATAGTCACCCCCTCCCCTTACCCAACTTTTGGCCACTAGTAAACATAATGTATTTTGTTCCTATAATTTTGCTTTTCCAGAACATCATATAAATGGGATCATAAACTATACAGCATTTTGAGTTTTGTTTCTTTCACTCAGCATTATGCTCAAAAGCATGCTTTTGAGATTCATCTATATATTTTAATTTTATTTATTTACTTTATTATTATCATTTACAAAGATGAGGCCTTACTATGTTGCCCAGGCTGGTCCCCAACTCCTGGGCTCAAAGCGATCCTCCCACCTTGGTCTCCCAAAGTGCTGGGGATTATAGGCATGAGCCACAGTGCCTAGTCTATATGTTTGTTTTTACTGCTGAGTATTATTTTATTGTATAGACACACCTCAGTTTGTTTATCCATTCACCAGAAGGACCTTTGGGTTGCTTCCAGTTTGGGGACTACTATAAACATCATGTATGAGTTTTTGTGTAACAGAAAAGGATTACATTTCTCTTGGAGAAATATCTAGGAATGGAATTGCTGGATCACAGGTTAAGTGTATGTTTAACTTTATAAGAAACCACCAAACCCCATTTTAAAGTAGCTGTTCCATTTTGCCTCCTCACTACCAGTGCATGTGAGTTCATTACTTCACATACTCACCAGCACTTGGCATTGTCACTATTTCTTTAAGTCATTCTATTAAGTGTGTAGTATCCCACTGTTGTTTTAATCTGCATTTCCTTTATGACTATTATGTTAAATACATGAAAAGATGCTCATCTGCCTCTACATTTTTTTTTTTTTTTTTTTTGAGACAGTCTCGCTCTGTTGCCCAGGCTGGAGTACAGTGGTACAATCTCAGCTCACTGCAACCTCTGCCTCTCAGGTTCAAGCTATCCTCATGCCTCAGCCTCCCAAGTAGTTAGTATTACAGACGTGAGCCACCACACCCAGCTAATTTTTGTAGTTTTAGTAGAGACAGGGTTTTGCCATCTTGGCCAGGCTAGTCTCAAACTCCTGGCCTCAAGTGATCCACCCATCTCGGCCTCCCAAAGTGTTGGGATTACAGGTGTGAGCCACCGTGCCGAGCCTACATATTTTCTTTGGTAAAGTATCTGTTCAAAATTTTGTCCACTTCTTAAAACAAATTATATTTTCTTTTTTCTTTTTTTTTTGAGATGGAGTCTCACTCTGTCACCCAGGCTGGAGTGCAGTGGCACGATCTCTGCTCACTGCAAGCTCCGCCTCCTGAGATCACGCCACTTCCCACCTCAGCTTCCCGAGTAGCTGGGACTACAGGCGCCCGCCACCAAGTCCGGCTAATTTTTTTTGTATTTTCAGTAGAGACGGGGTTTCCCTGTGTTAGCCAGGATGGTCTCAATCTCCTGACCTTGTGATCCACTCGCCTCGGCCTCCCAAAGTGCTGGGATTACAGGTGTGAGCCACCACGCCCTGCCGCAAATTATATTTTCTTATTGATCAATTTTTAAGAGTTATTTGTCATCCCTTTCTCCACTGAATTGTTTTCATAACTTTGTCAAAAGTCAATTGACCAAGCCAGACATAGTGGCTCATGCCTGTAATCCCAACACTTTGGGAGACACGGATGGGAAGACTGCTCAAGTCCAGCCTGGGCAACAAGAGCCCATCTTTACAAAAAATTTAAAAATTAGCCAGGCAGGGCTGGGCGCAGTGGCTCACACCTGTAATCCCAGCACTCTGGTAGGCCGAGGCGGGCAGATCACATGAAGTTGGCAGTTCGGGACCAGTCTGACAAACATGGAGAAACCCTATCTCTACTAAAAATACAAACAATTAGCTGGGCGTGGTGGTGTGTGCCTGTAATCCCAGCTACTTGGGAGGCTGAGGCAGGGGAATCGCTTGAACCCAGGAGGTGGAGGTTGCAGTGAGCTGAGATCACGCCACTGCCCTCCAGCCTGGGCAACAAGAACGAAACTCCATCTCAAAAAAAAAAAAAATTAGCCAGGCCTGCCAGGCACAGCAGCTCACGCCTGTAATCCCAGCACTTTGGGAGGCCAAGGTGTGCAGATCAGGTCAGGAGATGGAGACCATCCTGGCTAACACAGTGAAACCCCGTCTCCACTAAAAAAAAAAAAAAATATATATATACAAAAAAATCTGCCATGCATGGTGGCATGCATTTGTAGTCCCAGCTACTCGGGAGGCTGAGGCAGGAGAATTGCTTAAACCCTGGAGGCAGAGCTTGCAGTGACCCGAGATCG